CAGCACCAGAGGAATGGAAGATGGCTTTCCTCTGCGGCCGCGCCCGTAATTCCTGACCATGACCTTCCCATCTCACACGGCGTTCGGACTCGAAGCCCTCCGCTCGCATCTGCAGAAGAATTCATAGCTTCTCCAAAGCTCTCCTCCCTCCATGCCCGACTCTCATTACCAGAACGCCTACCGCTTCAGACACTGGCTCGCACCCTAATTGATGCCTCCGCCGATACCTCGACCCAATTTAACAATCATTCCTTCTCTGTTCTAGGCAATGACCTTCTCTCCTATTATACTACCGAACACCTCATTACCCAATATCCACGGTTGCCTATGTCGGTGCTCTGGACAGCGATGTATGCATACATAGGGCCAAAGGCATTGGCTGTCATGGCCAATGAATGGGGCGTTGAGCACGCAGCGGAGCCGGGCAGCGAGGTTGACCCTGCTTATCTCCAATTCCGGATAGCAGACCAGCAAACAATAGATAAGGAAAGCGAAGAAATACCTGCCGGAATATCTCGTCAACCTCTGCGCGGCGAGAAATTCAGACGAGGACTCGGCTCTCTATTTGTTAATGATGTCGAATTTTCCGAGTGCCGTGACGTCGATCCAAACACCTACGGAGACGCTGTCACACCAACTCGGGCCTCTGCAAACTTCGTCCGGGCCTTAATGGGTGCTGTATACCTACACGGAGGGCGACGTGCTGCAAAGACTTTCTTCGAGGAACACTTCAAGTCCCGCCAACTACCAATTGCCGATCTCTTCGGCTTTACTGAGCCCACACGTGACCTTTCCAAATTATGCAAACGAGAAGGCTTCGAAGCTCCCGTGGCCAAGGTTATAAGTGAGACGGGCCGACTCAGCAGACACCCAGTGTTCATAGTGGGTATCTTCTCCGGCAAGGACAAACTTGGCGAAGGAGCCGGATCAAGCTTAACTGAAGCTCGCGTCAGGGCAGCTGTTGCCGCATTGAAGAGCTGGTATCTTTACAGTCCACTCAATGCCAGAGTTCCCAGTTCGATGGAGGAAGAAGGCGCAGAACCCTGGAAACGAGCTCATATTGATCCAGGAGAGATCATTGTTTGATTTCCTGGGTAGAGTGCAAAAGACGATATTATACATACATACACTGACAGGCCTATCTATGCAGTCATGGTGCGCAGAGGTTGGACATGATACACTATTTTCTCCCTTTTTACCCGTTCCCTCATCCATGTTTAACTACTATGATTTCCATTTTGAAATAACATGTACCATATATATGGCGTTTTTGCGTCAATTTTATATTTGTTCCAAAATTTTCACTGGTAATACTTCTTGTCCCGGTAAATCAAAGACACAGTAACGGATTGCGCTTTAAGTAGTTATTACTGCAGGATTGGTAGGCTTTACCGGAGGATGAGGCAAATAGAGAGAGATGGAGAGGCAACAAAATAGAAACTGAAATTAAATAGCGGTTACCATATCTCTTTCTCGCAGATTGTGTATCCAAGCCCCCAGAATCAATAATCCCTATCTGCAAACTCCTTGGGCTCTCTATCGTCGAGGACGTAAATGTGCTTATAGTCTACAGTCCAGCTACAAAATCAGCGTCAGCAGCCAGTAACTCGGTAAGAAGCAGCAATAATAGAAAGCTGTATCGAAATAAACCTGCAAATCTTACCATCTGTTATTTTCCTCATCGTAAACGATGTTTCCAAGATGTGGATCACCTGCACAACCGTGGTATTTGAGTAGCTCCCTATATGATACCATCTTTAGAGATGACCCCCATCAACCGAAGTGCAACAGACTTACATCAAGCATTCACGAAAAGCACCTCGAATTTTCTCACGTTTGGCTAAATCGTAACTCCAAAATTGAGATAGAGGTATACCAGGCACCTTCTCCGTTATGATAAATATCATATAACCGCCTGGGACTGGGTCATAATCATGTTGCTGAATCGACTGTTGTATGTAGAATAGTTTTGGAGTCGCTCTACACCCTACTTTGTCAAAATGGCGAAGAGCTTCAACCTCCTGTTTTATGAAATGGGAAGGTTCTGTGGAAGCAAACTTCTTTCGAGACCCTGGCTCCAAGCTTGCTGGGTATTCGGACGGTGCTCTAGTTACCGGATATTAGTGAAATGTTCAACTTGTTCACATCGGGTCCTCGTACTCACTGTACTCGAATCTTGCAAATGGCCTCCTTTCCAGCTGACTCCCCTTTAATTTGTTCGCAGATGTAGGTTGCTTGTCCCTCTGCTATTGTCTTTCCACACTCGTTACACTCTGCTGGATAGAAGATTGAACCCTCAGAGAGCTTTTCTTGATCTTCCACTCAGTGCCATCATCTTCAGTAACGACATAGTGTCGAAGCCTGCCGCTACACCAAAAGGAGTGAGCCCACACTAATGGTAGGCAGAGCTGAAGTTTGACACATAGTCATCAAACAAGTCCACAATCCAGCGCTGAGGAAATTTGGCAATATCCATGGCTTGGTAGAGGAGGTATGAAAAAAAAATAAAGGTAGAAGGACAAAGTGGTATTTACATTCAAGATCCGATTGTTATATATCCCCTGTATAGAAGCTGTAAGTCACTGGCGCTTCGTTAGCCAGTAATAGTCAGATAAGTGAAAGAATATACTTTTCAGGTGGCGGCTAGTTCACTTGAGCCGCTTGTCACCCTGCATACACTCGTTAGTTTACTAACTAGTCCCGTCATCTCGTTAACTACCGAGAGGTCACTTTCTGCAGTGGACCCGGCGGGGGCGGCTACCTGTAAAAATATTATTCCGTTTCAACGTTTTAGGTAGAAGTACCGTACCTGCCCTGGAGGTCTGCGACCTTTTATCACCAGGAGGACTATACCGTTGTAACCCTCATCCGAAGGGGAAATGGGCAAACTCGATCCCCACGAAGACTCCCAGTGGTTTAATGACAGCCAACTTCTTGATATTAAGACATTCTGCGATACTTGTCCTTTATCCGTAGTTTTATCCTAAATTTGCCATTTTTTCATTACATGTGGGCATTCATAATAACTCCTTGCCTAGAGTGGTAAGTAATTCGATCTGAACTGTCTTCACTTATCTTAGCAATTTAGTACGCTACCTATGTACAAGGCTAAGTGATAGTACCCCATTCGTAGTCCTAGAATAACGCATAAGGAAACGAGAAGTAGTAGTGTGCCATCAGTCGTTACCGCATCCACAATCTTGGATCTTGGGTTTCTGGCCTCCGACATATTCAGCGTAACCAGCCCACAACTCCTCTATTTCGTGGCCAAAAAGGCCATTCCAGAAGACCTGGCCGTTGGCACCAAGATACCCCTGTCTCAGGAGGCGGTCATTTATCAATCCGACGGCGCCAGTTCCGACCTTGATATTCTCGATCCACTCGAGGAAGAAGGCAGTGTTCTGATACCCTGCATCCCATCTTTTGGGCAGGTCAGCCAGAGAAGTTGGGCGCTTCCAATGGGCTGCTCCAAGGCCGGACTTCAGACGAACAAAGTCTGCGATCCCCTCGATAAGACCAGAGGGTGGGTTTGGAGTTGATTTGCCAGGCGGGTTGGTATGCTGATAGCAACGCACAAGCTCGTGTTGAATGATCCCGGCTATCTCGGCAACCGTGTCTTTGTAAGAGCCAGCGTGGGCGATATAGGAGAGCGACATATGAATCTCCTTTTGGTTGTCGTCCGAGCTTACCCCGATGGTATAGGCGACTCCCTGGAAATCATGGATAATAAAGGAGACAGAGGAGGTTGGGGGCAGCGAAGGGTTGAACTGGATTTGCCGGCGAGGAGCAGCAGGGGCAGGCGGAGATGTATAGAGATATTTGACGATCTCTCCTATCGCATTCTGCATGACCGTATCGGGGTCCGGAACAGACTTGATAAAGAGCTTTGACGCCTGGTTGCCCAGATCCTCAAAATGAAGCCGCAGCTTTGGCTTCGGGACTGCTGGCGCAGCAGAGGCAGATGGCGGGTACCCGCATCCCTCTTTTCCCCACTGTGGGACGTTGTTGGGAGCCTCCTTCTCGTCGTCTGTTCCGCCGCCAACCCCTGGGGGAAGCAAAGAGGAGGCGGGCGTCGGGATAGCGGAAGAGGGCTCGGACATCGTTGCAACTCGCAACCTGCAAAACACAGAGTGTAGGTGACGCATAGAAACAGCGATATATGTCACAGACACGGCCTATATATCAGCTCTGGGAGCAGAATTGCTCTTTCTTTTCTTTTCCACGGCTAGTCAGAAGACGAATATATTGAGTGTATGCATGTATAGACACGAAGTTAGATGGCCTTTAGGTTGCACCGACCCATGGACACACCTGACATATAGTCTCTTCCAGGTTGTGCCTGACTGTCAAGCCATGGAAGGCTATTTGAGAACCAAAAAACCCCCAAACATGGCAGATACACAGAGCATGCCAGACGATCTCTCGCAGTATATGCACGTCTTCTCTGCCCGCCTGCAGCCACGGGGGTGTCTGGCGTCGCTGTCCTGCGCTGTCGGTGAATTCGGGGGGCTTGATAGCCGGCCGACAATAAAACTTTTGCGGGCGAGGGCGCTTCGGCGGCTGCAGCCTAAAGGAGAGTGCTGAGTCAGCAGTGGCCTGCCACAACACCGCGAGGGACGGCCGAAAGAGGGAAAAAGCAACATCAACATCGCCAACGACAACATAGCAGAAGCCGCCAAAGACGAAAGTCAAGACGCACGCTGCGCCGCGGATTGTCTCTCACGCTGCCTGCTGCGGTCTCACAGGACTCGATATAACGGTGTCAAGCGTCGCCGCGCCCATCACTCGCGCCCTTTCGTTGTGTAACTCGGCCTATCTACAAAAGCAAGTTGACCCGCAGCCGACCAAACAACAACCACAACAACAACCCTCTTCTCCCGCCCGCCACTCCCCAGCAACCGAAGCCGAAGTTCAGCTTTTTTTTCTCGTACAGCCTGACACCTGCCGACCACTGCCAAACGACTATCCCAAATGACATTTGCGGTTGTGCGACTCTGACAATGGATGAACGAGCTACGGAGCTATTAGCTGCCCTGCGCAACACCTCCCTCTCCGTTGATGCAAAGATAGCATCGCTGACCAAGCTTAAGTCGGAGATCAAACAGAAGAATGTTCCTACGTCCGCTGCCGGGGATATATTCGATGCCATTCGCCTGGCTATTGCGTCACAGCATGCGTCCCTCTCCGCTGGTGGTTTCTCCGCGCTTGGTCACCTGCTGAAGCGACTCTATCTCCAGGAACAGAATGGCCTGATCGCCAGCCAAGGGCGACATACGTACTCGCTGCTGCTTGAGAAACTCGGCGATCACAAGGAGCGTGTACGGGCTCACGCATCTCAGGCGTTTGTGGACTTTTGGCAGTCGGCTCCCACAGAGGTTGAGCACCATGTTCTAGAGGTCGCCCTCGTTGGCAAGAGCCCTAGGGCGAAAGAAACTAGTATGATGTGGCTGGTAAAGGTGTGCACTTGTCTGCTATCCATTGTTTACTCGTGCAGTTTTGGCTTTTTGTTTTATACACACCGGCTGACTCCCATGCTATGCAGATGACAAAGGAACGTGGGGTTCTTTTCCGTGCTCATGTTCCTAGCCTCGTGGTTGGCCTTGAGGATGCAGACAGCTCCGTCAGAGAGACGGCCAAGGCTGCCGTGATCGAGTTATTTCAGTAAGCAACTCAATGCCGGTTTTTATGTCAGTTGCCCGTCATTATCTAACTCTGGTATTCTGTGCTTAGAAACGCCCCTCCACGAGCTATATCAGACTTAAAGAAACAGATTCAGTCTCATAATGTCAGGAGGTCTATTGCTTTATCAATATTTGCGGCGCTGGGCATCAATTCTGTACCCGATGCAGACCTCCCATCCTCCCACTCTGGCATGCCTGCCCGGCCAGGAAGCAGCTTCTCTCACCGTCGAGAAGAACCAGCAAGGCCAAACTCAGTTCTTTCAACACGCTCACATCATCACCAAGATGGAAGCAGTACGTTTTAGCCCACATCCCATCACTTTCCTAGATATGTATCTTGTCTAACACACAATCCAAGGCCGAAATGATGACTCCCATTATGCTCCATCCAGGCCTCCTAGAGGCGACCCGCCCAGAAAAGATGCACTATCGCACGCTCCTAGTGTTGAATCCTTATCTGCAGCCAGCATTGAGCATGAGGTTCCCATTTCTCTTGACCCTATTACCATATATTCGAATAGGGAAATCGATGAGATGTTTCGTGATATGATACCCCATTTTGAGGGCAAAGAAACTGAGCACAACTGGCTACACCGTGAAAGGAGTGTCCACACCTTGCGGAGGTTGACCAAAGGAAATGCACCTCAAGATTACCAAGCTCACTATTTGGCAGGCATAAAACAGCTACTCGATGGCATTCTCAAAGCAGTCAATTCCCTCCGTACTACTCTATCAGCTGCAGGCTGCTCTCTCCTTCAAGATATTGCTCGAGTAAACGGCCCGGCCATAGAACCAATGGTGGAGATTCTGCTTCAAAATCTTATCAAACTGTGCGGTGCTGTTAAAAAAATAACCTCCCAAAGCGGGAATATAACTGTTGATACCATCATTGGCAACATCTCTTACTCCAGTCGTCTCCTTCAGCATATGTGGGCTGCATGCCAGGACAAAAATACTCAGCCAAGGCTTTTTGCTACAAGATGGCTTAAAACGCTCATGAACCGGCATGCTAAACATAAGAATACTATTGAGCATAGCGGTGGTGTGGATATTATTGAAAAATGTATCAAGAAGGGCTTGGCCGATGCTAATCCGGGAGTTCGAGAAAACATGCGTGGAACTTACTGGACCTTCGCAAGTATATGGCCAGATAGGGCTAGAAGGTAGGTTTTCATACCCTTCCCGACCATATATATGATCACGTAAATTCTAACGATACATGTAAAGTATTATTTCCGAGTTGGATACCAAGTCAAGGGCACTCCTTGAAAAGGATGCTGGGAATCCTAACGCAGCTGCTCACACCACAGCTACTTCGGCTTCCCGCAGTGGACAGCCTTATAGCTCTTCCTCAATGAGGATGACTTTGAAAGAAACCATTGCTGCTCAAAAGAAGGCTCGGCTAGCTGCAGCAAAGAACCTCCCTCCGCGCCCAGAGTCTGCTCAATCTGCGTTCGCGGAGCCAAAGTTGGCAAGGCCCAACTTACAAAGACAGCCGGCATCCTCCGCATCTATTCGCAATGTACCTACCGGAACTCAACCTTCATCGTCATCGTCATCATCTGCCCAAGGAGGCTCGCTTTCGTCTGCCCCAATGCGGCCCGGGATGCGCTCTCGCAGACCGGAGCTGTCGAGGCCTGCAACGGCGGACCCTTATTCCCGAAGAAATGCCCCCCTCAGTGCTCAATCTCAGGTATTAAGTCCCACCAATAGTCCACAGAGGTTTTCTCCAAAGTCAGCTCCGGCTCCCCGCACAAGGAACCCTCCGGCAAGGCCAAAGTCTAGGATGGAAGGTGTAACAACAAATACTCTTCAAAGGAAAGCCGCAGCATCCGAACCCCCGATGGCTCAGCCGCTTGAACCTGAAACTACCAATTTGATTGATCCAGAGCCGGAGAAGGAGCAGCAAATTGTACCTGAACCAGAACCTGAACCTGAGGCAGCCATCCCAGTCTCTCGGACACTCGATGAAGATATTTTGAGCCCGACCAAAGCACACGAAGACTTTACCATTGTCTTGCCTGATATCAATGACCCAATACAGGTTGAAGCTCCTCAGACTCCAGTTCAACCTTCAGTGGTGACATCACTAGAATCAGTGGATAGAAGCCCAATGGAAGCGCCCGCAGAACCTTCCATCGAAACACCAGTTGAAGTGACAGGGGAAGTATCTATTGAACCCCAGCATGAAGAATCAACCGAAGCGCCAGTGGAAGCACCCGCATCGACTATTGAAGCAGCAGTTGAGCCAGCTGAGGTATTGGATGAAACCCCAGCTGAAACCCTAGTTGAAACCCCGGTTGCCACGCAAGCCGACATTCCGGTTGAGCCTCCGGTTGAAGCTCCAAATGATAATCAAACCGCTAGTGATTTGGCTGACCTTCCGAATGTCAATGCCGACCCCACAGAGTCGTCCCGCATTGAAGACACGCCTCAAGCACCGCCAGATCCTCACAAGGATGCAGTTATCACTGGCGGTCAAATAACTCCTCCTAGACAACTCGTACTCAGCACAACTCCTCTATCTAAAATCCCTACTTCTCCTAAATTCCGCCAACACAGCAGGGAAATTGTTCTCTCTAGCCCCCTACGCACTCCTCCAAAGAGCCATGTTCGACCCTCGGAACCAGAAAGCTCCTCCATTATCAAACTCTCACCACCATCAACCGCTGCTGAATCCAACGGAGCAACGGCCCTCAAAGTCTATGAGGATCCTCAGTCTCCGATCTCAAAGGCTTCTACTTCTTCGCCCACAACGCCTCACACAAACCGACTAATTTCAAAAACCAAACCTCTTGAGGCCCGACCACTCAATGAACCCTCAAGTACCAATCGCAAATACAACCAGGATGCCCAGAGTATTTCTCCACTTTCATATTCACCTCCGGCCTCTGCGTCCAATGAGAACTCCCATCGACGATGGAAGAAGGCTGAAATATCAGAAAAGCGAAGAAGCCTCAGCCCTCATTCTAAAGATCCTAATCGGGCACGAGATATGGTCGATAGAGGGCTTATGAGAATTCGAACCTCGGCTCTAGATGTCCATGGGTATAGAAAATTCCAGAGCCTTATCCGTTACCATGACTCTATCTTAAATGATGAAGCAAAGTATTCTCAAATCTTGCTTGCTTTGTTCGATGCGTTAGAATCACCGGATGAAAACAGAGTATCGAGTACAAGCCGATCCTTTGACCTCAAAACGCAAATTCTCTTCACTATACGGCTCATGCTATCGCAAAACCGGGAATATTTCTCCAAGTTTTACTCGAGAGCAATGGTGTCAATCATCCGGACAAGGAAACACTATGAAATCACGAATCACATTGTTTCTGGCCTTGAAGAGACGTCCGAAGATATTGTTAGCGCCTGCAACCCTCAAGAGGTAGTGGACGATATTCTTCAACTTCTGGAAACAGAAGAGAAGTCAATAGAAGCAAGTCGGATGGTATCCATGGGCACATATGTCCTTTGTGGACTCCTTCACCGCTTGAATGAAAAGAAGCTCTACTTCAATGATTCCGAACTCCAACGGCTCGGCAAATTTGCCAGCGAAAATCTCAGAAATCCTCAGCCGGACGTCCGCCGTGCAGTCATGGACTTCTGCCTAGAACTACACGAGATGGTAAAGCCTGAAGAGAAGTTCTGGTCCATTGTTAACTCTCCCGGAGAAGACGTTCGGCCACTCCTGACATACTATATCGTGAGAAAACCTAAGGCTTAGCTAGTCAGACCGAGTCATTTCCACTTTCTAATTCTTCCTTTAGACCGAAAAAACTTCTCGAACCACATGCATTTTGCATCATACCCTTGGCCTTGGACCACATTATACTCTCTTTAATATTTCTTGACCAACTCGTCAGATCTTTATTTTTTTTTCGTGCTCCGTTCTTGGTCCCTTTGAATTTTCACTACGCAAGCAATGTATCGCTTTTTTGTACGCTGCCATGCTGTGAGACGATATGGGATGATCTTTTAGCTACACCGAAGCGTCAGGATTGTATTATTCGATATTGGTTCCGCTTTTTACTTCCCCTTTCCCCTTCACTTCCGCGTCCGGCCTCGATAGTATACATTTAATCCTTTCCATATATCTTCTACCTCTCTTCTTCTTCTTCTTCTTCTTCTTCTTCTTCCATCTTGGATTGCATTTGACAAAAAGCGGCGCACTCAGTTCGGTCCCCAAGCTTTTTTTTCTTTCTCTTTTTTTCTCTTTCGTTTCTTGGGGGAAAAAAACTTTAAACGTTGCTTGATATCAGCGATTCAGCCCTTGTTTGTTTCTTCACCCTTGCCGCCATTCCTGTAATTCATGCATGAGACGGTAGAAAACAGAAGTGATGTGCGTTGGGCCCGAGGGGTTTGGCCAGGTTTGGAATTTCCGGCCTCAGCGCGACAAGGCAGGGCTGTAGCGCTGCTTGTTTTGTGACTTCTCTTTGGGTGGGCTTCCGTGCATGCAGGATGCATATACGGTACTGTTTCTCCTCAGTTGTTATAGTTATAACTAGTTAGTAAGCTTCGGGAATTCCACACTTTTTTTTTTTAACTTGTGGTTACGAGCGGTTCGGCTGGGGTGATGCAGGTGGCTGCAGGCATCAAGGGCATTTTCCATCTCAAGCACGGCTGGTACATATATCGATGCGGAATTGGGATCAACGCTGTCGATCCCGATCCGGCCACCCAAGTAAGTGTCCCTTATTCCAGGGCTGTCGTGTCGCTCGAGAACGTCGTTTCCCCCTTTCGTTAGTCTATATGAACTAAAGGAGGAACTCTTGTTATGCTTTAGTCTAAACACTAACGAGATAATCCTTCAGACCCCTGGGATCCCCTGATGACGCCCCTTTCAAAGTATGCAGCAGTAACTTTCGAGCTAAAAATTTCGAGAACTCTAATGGATACTAAGCGTAGCTTTGACGTGTGTCTGCATGATCTGGTGTAACGAACATCTAGTATATTATCGTTCTATGCAACAGAGATGCTATACGGAGTGCTCCGTAGCCTAGACATCTATAACGGCTGTTTGTAAAGGAGAGGCATAAACTTGCACTGAAAAGTGCTCTTTTCTTCTTATCACAAGTCAGGCAACTAACCTGTTAATCATATGCCAGTGCCACAGGCTTTCATGAACTTTCCTTGTACTCGAAAGGAGGATCTTGGAAAAACTTCTCCCTCGGACACATGATTAACGCAGCACGCTTGTGAGGCAGGTCAATAAGCTTATTAATGTGGAATCCGTTTGCTTGGTCGTACGCAAGGACCTTGGCGCCGGTGGCTCTTGGCTCCCCAACGACCAAGTTGGTGCGAGGGTCATCGAGGAACATATAGTGAGTAAGACAGGTGTGCCAGGCCTTAACACGATGAGGACCACGGAAACGAGCATCTCCTACAAGGAAATGTCTGCCACGGTCAAAGTCTCCGGCTTCGTAGTACGGTCCAATGGCATCCTCCTATAGATTTAATTTTGGTCAAAACTTGTTTTTAAACGGTTTATTATAGTATAGATCGTGTGATCACTTGCCTTGGCCCAGTATATTTCGTAATAGGCGAAGAATGTATCGTCGAACTTGCCTAACACAGGGAATTGATGGGAGTCTTCATGCATATTTCGCAGATAGGCACGGTGCTGCTCCAGCGTTCCGGTTTCGTTCCAGCCTGCAGCAACTCTGGGGTCGTTCTGCCATACATGGAAAAGGTTGACGTGCTCCTCATTGGTCCAGTCAAGTGCAACCATAGAGAATGTCTCCTTCAAATGTGGGATATAGCGGCTGTAAATAGTCGAGCCTGGAGTTGGTTTAGCAGGCCGGATTGGGTGGGTAGTGTGAATGCGTGACGTGGGGAATTTGGTAGTTAAGGAGTAGTCCAGTGCTCTGGGAGGGAAAGCAGACTCAAACGACGGGGAGATATCTCGATTATCCGTTCCAGCAACCCAGATCGGCCTGGGTCCAAAGGGGGAGCCAGCACCCTGCCAGAAAGACCGGCGAAGGACAACTAATTGGCCAATATGATCGTCTGACGCTGGGACAGGCTGGCCTGGCGGTGCGCTGGGCGCAGGGTGAGCAACAACAAGCCCGACAGCCTCAAGCTGGTGAGCTAGAATATCACTCCCGGTCCCATCTAATGTGATTCTAAATACCTCAAGCTCAGGATGGACCGTGAGAATGGCATAGACGACAATCCATACCTGCCCTACTGTGGGGGTATCGTTTCCTTCCCACGACATGTTAGACAACGGACTCCTTTTCGCCCGGGCCCAGGCTGAATTGTTATTGTCTGGAGGAACCCTCGAGGCGTCTTCCAATGACAGATCGGTGAACGTGAGGCAGGAATGGTGAAGTGTTACTTTCTGAGGCTTCGACGCTGCACCCGTCTGGCCACACAGCTGAACCCTGAGGGACTTTGGCTGGCTGCCGGGAGTCGACTCAACAATCTCATAGGTCGCATTCTGGGGTTCGGGAATCCGAATAAAAGGAGCACGCTCCTGGGAGAGTAATGAGAAGTTCGACATGACTGATCCTGAGACAATTGAGTATGCGCAGTCCCTGGGGAGAGAGTATTCGGTCCGTCTTCTTTTCCTATCGAGGGGAGGGGAGAGAGAAGTAGATTCTCGAGGTGGTACGGAAGGCCCAGACATAATATATTCGTACTGTTCCACAGTCGTCACCAGAGCCTTGGAATACGAGCAACGTATGATGCAACCTGCGAGCTAGGGAATGATCTGTAGGAATCAGATAAAAAAAAAAAAAAAATCATCATGCCTTAATAATAATGGTCTATATTATTACATATTTGCAAGGGGACAGGGGGGGTGGCTTTGACAGCTTACATAAGACATTAAAGCTGCAGGGGCCGCATGAGACAAGCGGCAAGTCCAGCCAATCACAGGCCGCCCTTAACCTCACTACTGAGTCAGCAAACCTTACCAGTGCGGCCTTTTATGCTTCTTTTTGGGTTTTTGCGCTGCAAATTGGATTTTTTCATACGACGACGGCGACGCCGTTTGTTCCGTCCTTGTCCATCTGATAAAATGCTGTTACGGAAGCTAAGGGAGCCCCTGGGGCACTCGCTCTCCGTTGGCACCACATACCCCGATACCCACCGCAGCCCACAGCCGAGCTGTTCGAGGATTTCTCGCGCTGAGGTGATAACGCCATTCGTTTCTTGTCTCTGGTCTTGCTGCAGCAAACACCAAGCTTGACAGCGTGGAGCCTTGTCAGGCGCGGTGGGTGCGTGGCTAAGAGGCCAATAACGCATGCCAAACTACGTCTGCCATGGCGTCTCTGCTGGCAACTCGGAGTCAATCTCCGTCATATCAGTCTCGTCTCATCACAAGTTCGAGTTCGACAGCATTGGCCTCCTTTGTTTTTGTGGGAAAAAGTCAAGACAAAGTTATCAGATGGAATAAAGTGGGGCCATTCCATCTTATCACTTTCTTTTCTTTTCTTCTCCAACCAGCTCCGTTTGTTTGACATGCCGATATGTTGCTCCGTGGTGCTCCATGTGCTCCCTATTCTCGTGTTGTGCTTGCACAGAGCGCTACGACGCGCGCTCCTTTAATATTCTTGCCCTCGACGACGACAACGATATGGGGAGTACTCCGTACAATGGATGGCAATTTGTTTCAGTGCCCTGTCCCAGATCTTCGCAGCGGGATGTGACCCCTTGTCTAAAGGCTTTTTCTCTCGTTTTTTCCCTCTTCACCTGACGCCGTCTCTCGGTTGTCTCATGGAGGCAATCATCCTGTCCAGTGACAGGGCCTGCCATGCCCTCGTAACTCCTTGGCCCCTCCTTCCCATCTGATAAGAAGAAGAAAGAAAAAGAAAAACGCCCAAGGGGAGTCTTTGTCCGCAGTTGGTCCCGCTATGTCACCTCTCCGTTCCCAAAGAAAAGGTTTCCTCACCTCAGGAATGTGCCTGGAATCCTTGTTAGGGAGACCGTGGACATGTATTCGTCCAAATTTCTCCACCCGAATGCGAGGAGACGTTCTCAGCTCTTTATTTTCGTAGGCTTTTTCCTAGTGGGATATGACTGTGTACATGTCATCGACTCAGTGCCAAATCTTCTCACCTCCGAAGCCCTGATGGACTACGCGGACTCGGTTGAAATATATCCTCCGCCTACTTTCCTCCCATCACTTCGTTGTACCTACAATCTTTCCGGGAACCCGGACCATTTGTGATTGATGAGAATAGTGTAGCACCTGTATAAGCCTCACTCTATCCATCTTTCTAAATGGCAGTGGAAGAGAAGAATTCTCCTACGGGGGCGGCCATGACAAATACTGGCATCCTAGCTCCGTCATCACAGCCGAGTCAGCCAGAGGTATGGTTTTTCCAATTACTCATAGTCTATATACTCCTTCCCTAACACATACCTGAAGTGGTGGACAAAGACACAGAAGTTCTTCTCCCGGGAAAACACTATAACCCCTACGTTTGGATACTTTCGTCTTCTGTTTGGGACACAGCCCGGAAAAACCGATATCGCACTTATCGTTATTGGAACCATTGCTGGAATAGGCGCTGGTATTCCATTCCCTCTGCTCGGTATTCTCTTCGGTGAATTAGTCGACGACCTGAACTCATCGACATGCTCGACTACTCAAGCTCCACCAGGTGGCTACCAGGCCGCTATAACCACAAAGGTGCTACAAGTCATCTACGTCTCGATCCTAAATTTTGTGTGCATGTATATCCATACTGGGTGTTGGAGCATGGTTGGTGAACGCCTGGTGCGACGCCTACGAACCAAATACTTCCATAGTCTTCTGAGACAGGAGATTGCCTTCACGGATACACTGCCTTCAGGAGATGTTACATCTCGGCTGGTCAGTGATATCGAAGTGATCCAGGCTGGAACGTCAGAGAAAGTAGGCCTGTTTATCGGTACTATTTCGTACTTTGTTGCTGCTTATATCGTAGCATTTCTCAAAGTTGCTACTATCGCGGCCATGCTTATGTCGGTTGTACCAATCTACTTTCTAATGGCCTTTGGCGGAGGACATTATATAAAGAAATACTCTGGCAGGATTTCAACCCATATAAATGCCGCCACGTCAATTGTTTCGTCCAGTCTGTCACATATGAGCATCGTCCATGCTTTCAATGCGAATGCCAGATTGGAAGCCTTATTCGCCCAACACCTCGTCAGTGCAAGGATGGATGCGTTGAAGAAGGCCATCACCCATTCTATACAGTTTGGAATGCTTTATTTCGTAGCATACGCGTCGAATGCACTTGCTTTTTGGCAAGGTAGTAGAATGATTGCTGATCTTGCAGAGGGCAAGCCTTCTAAGGTCTCCGTCGGTGCTGTTTACACCGTGATATTCGTTTTACTAGATGGTTAGTAACTTCACCCATTTTCAAGAACGGTTTAACTAAATAATGTCCTATAGCTTCCTTTGTTTTAAGTCAGATGGCTCCTTTCATGCATATCTTTGCTTCAGCAGCATCTGCAGGTGATAGACTTATGACCACAATCAAACGCCAATCTGCCATTGACGGCACTTCTTCCGAGGGTGACTCGACCATATCTTTGGCCTCGGAGGAAATCGAGCTTCAAGACGTTACGTTCAACTACCCAGCTCGCCCGGAGGTTCCAGTGTTGCAGGGCGTGAGCTTCAAGATTCCTCCGAATAAACACACTGCCATCGTTGGAACATCAGGGAGCGGGAAGTCAACCGTTGTAGCCCTACTGGAGCGTCTCTATGATCCAATTACTGGCTGCGTCCGTGTTGGCAACCGGGACCTAAAAGAAATCAATGTTCGGCATTTACGTGGAAGCATCGGTCTAGTTCAGCAGGAACCAAACCTCCTTGATCGATCTATATTGGAGAACATCGCACATGGCCTTGTTAGCTCATCCCAAGAGAAACACAAGCACCTTCTTCCCACCTTGCTGGGCCCGAGCCTTTCCGAACTTACTGAGAAGATTCGTCAAGGTGCAAGTGAAGACGAAGCGATAGCAGAGCAGGGAGACGTGGTTCGAGAGATTGTCAACCTCGCACGCCATGCAGCTGCCTTGTCAAATGCAATTGATTTCATCAATGCATTGCCAGATGGCCTAGCAACGAGGGTAGGAAGTTCTGGTGCCGAGCTAAGCGGTGGCCAAAAGCAACGCATTGCACTAGCCCGAGCTCTTATCCGTGATCCTCCCGTGCTGCTGTTGGATGAAGCCACAGCTGCCCTTGACTCTACCAGCGAGAGGTTGATACAAGCAGCGTTGACCAAAGTGTCTGAGAATGTTACGACTGTTTCAATTGCACATCGGCTGGCTACTGCTAAGGATGCTGATAACATTATTGTTATGCAGAAAGGCAAAGTTATGGAACAAGGCACGCACATGGACCTCGTAGCTCGTGACGGTGTATATGCTGGTATGGTACGGCTGCAGAACATAGGGAAATTCAGTTCCTCTAGCTCTATTATGACCGAGTCTACCCAGGTTGATGTAAACATTGACCGATCTCTCACCACTGATACCCTTCTGAACAAGGAAGAAAAATTGTCCCTTGAGCAAGGTGTACTAGACGAGAAGGAGAAACCTGCTCAGTTATATATGCCTGAAGAAGCGGACAGCCTGCCAACTGAACCCGAAGAGAAAAAGGAGAAGCCAAAGCAGACTCTCTGGGCTACTATGAGAGGGTCATTCCCACTCATCCGACCCAATCTCCTCCTCATCTCACTTGGACTGATTACCTCTATTATGATTGGTGTCAGTTATACAGGTGAAGCGGTCATTTTTGGTCACACAGTAGGCAGTCTGAGCGTCTGTCGAGGTGGCCCAAGCATTCGATCCAGCGGTATGCTTTTTGGTCTTCTCTTCTTCATCCTTGCAGTTGCGAAATTTGCTGCTGTGATTGTGAATGGAGCTGCATTTGGTTGGGCTGCTGAAAAGACTCTATATCGTACACGAGTTCTCTCGCTTCGTTCACTACTCCGTCAACCGCTAGAATGGCATAATGCAGATGGACGAACGCCTGGGTTATTAGTTGCCCTAGTTACAAGCGATGCTTCAGCTCTTAGCAGTTTGACAGGTACAACCATCGGTGTCCTCTTTTCCACCGTTGCGAACCTCTTTGCGGGTGTTATTCTGTCTCACATCATCGCATGGAAGATAGCTGTAGTCCTTCTGGCTACTTTACCCGTCTTATTGGCATCTGGAGTCCTTCGGCTACGTGTAATGGCTCAATATCAAAAGAAGCACCAAAAGGCCTATGCGAAGGCAACGGCTATTACAGTGGAAACAGTCGACAATATCAAGTCAATCGCAGCATTTTCTCTGGAACAAGAAGCCTATAGTGTTTTCAACCGCTCTCTGAAAGCACCATATAAGTCGAACATGAAGTCTGTCTTGCACGGAAACTTCTGGCTCTCGTTGGCATACAGTATCAGCACGCTGGTATACGCATTAGCATACTGGTGGGGGTCACAGCAGATTCTTGCAGGCATGTACACACAGGTTCAGTTCTTCATCGTCCTGCCAGCTCTCCTATTCAGCACTCAGTCGTGCGGCCAGATGTTTGCTCTGGTTCCGGATATATCCAAAGCCCGCATTGCGGCGTCAAATATCGTCGACCTCCTATCCATCAAGCATGAGGGAGACGAAGAGTACGACAAGACTGGTTCGAAAGCAAGTGCCAAACACACCGATCCAAGGTTTAACATGCTCGAGGACAAGCCCAGGGATGTCGAGGCGCAGTTAACTACGACTACGCCTTCATCCTTCCCCACAAAGGGCATGGGCGTCCAATTCCGCAATGTCCATTTCCGATACCCCTCTCGACCCAACCAACCGGCCCTAGATGATTTATCCATCAACATTTCCCCCGGCCAGTTCTGCGCCTTAGTCGGTCCCTCTGGTTCAGGAAAATCAACTACTTTTGCACTTCTAGAGAAGTTTTATAATCCAGCCTCTGGGTCTATCATCATTGACGGGGTAGACATCACTAAGCAATCTGGTGCGGCCTTCCGAGATACCATTGCCCTCGTACCACAAGAGAACGTCATGTTTGAAGGAACGGTAGCATTTAATATTGGGCTTGGAGCCCGCCCTGACGTCGAGGCCACGCAGGAAGAGATCGAAGAAGCCTGTCGTCTGGCCAATATACACGATACCATCGCTGCCTTGCCTGACGGGTATAACACTGTCTGCAGCCAAGATGGGAAACAGTTCAGTGGTGGCCAGAGGCAGCGGTTGAGTATTGCCCGTGCACTCGTTAGGAAGCCTAGATTGTTACTATTGGATGAGTCCACGAGTGCTCTTGATGTTGAGAGCGAGAAGCATGTTCAAGATGCGTTGGCAAAGGTGGCTCGAAAGACTACTATAGTTGCTATTGCGCATCGGTTGAATACAATCCACCGAGCTGACAGGATCTTCATGATTGAGGGAGGAAAGTGTGTCGATCAGGGAACGCATGCGGAACTCGTGGAGAGATGCGAGAGTTATAGAGCGAATGTGATTCATCAGTCGTTGGATGCGTAGAATAGAATTATTATATACGGAATAGAGTAAATAGTTGTATTTAGCCGGCTAAACATACATTTGATTAGTTGTTTTTAATATTGAGAAATATATATAAATACGAATATCGGAAGTGATGATGGAAGTGACACTTTATATATCCAAGAAATATACATTGTGACATAGTAATTGGTGAGAGAGGCGGATGGAGGGAGCGGGATAGAGAGAGAGAAAGAGAGTGTATAGACAGGAAACAAGTAAGAATTGTTTTATCTATATGGTGACATGTTACAACAAGAGCAGTAGTTATTCAGATACAAAAAAGAAGAGGGGAAGCAGGCCGTGGAAAGCGAGCCTACTTGGACTCCTGTGGGTATAGGTCTTCCTGGAGAACAATACCGAGCTCCTCTCTTAGATCCTTGAGTTCTTCGAGGTACACCTCGTACTGAGATCGGTTCTCAACCTTTGATCGGATGCCTGGTACAAGTAAGACAGGAAGTTAGGGGATATACAGCAATGTCAAAAATGAAGCTAAGTCTAGTCAGGCCAGAGAGACGTACCCTCGAAGACACGGACGGCGGTGGGGAAGTCGTTGACTCTTCGGGCAGCCTTGAGGGCAGCAGTCATGACGGCAACGGATGGGACGAGATCGTAAGCAAAAGCGTTGTTAAGGTTTCTCTGCAAATATAAATAAACCACATGAGTCGTCTGGTGGAAGGCAAAAAACAAAAAATGCCAATGAAGGTCATCTAACCTGCAGCTCGAAAACATCCTGTACACTGTCGAATTCCTTCTCATATCTACCATATAATATTTTCAATCAGTATTTCTGTTTCATTGGATATGCAATGGCTCTTTTTCTCGATGGGTTCAAGTCTGGGAAATCGGCTGGCGCTGACGAACCGGGCAGAGAACTGCTCAAAGGTCTCCTCCTCGTGAGCACCGCTGAATCGCATGGGAGTGGTGCTGAATGCGCTGGCTCTGAAGACGGGGGCAGGGACGGCAGCGGATACTCTGGCACGAGCGGCGTATGGAGCGGCCTTGAAGAAAGAGGTGGCCGGAGTGCGCGTAGCGAGGCGGAAGAGGGTTGTTGAAGCCATTGCGGACGGATTAAGGGTCAATTCGACGCTCGGAAGCGGAGGGAGAGCTGTAGCAGCGTTTATTAGAGGGAAGCAGCTTAATTGACGGCAAGCGAAGGGGCAGAAGCTCACGGTGGCAGCGGTCGAAGAGTGGTTGTTGTTTGCTGTGACGTTGAAGAAAGGAAGATTTTCTGGCTGGTTTGGATGTTCTTGGTGCGGGTCACGGGACCGTCACACCACCCGAGACAACAGCAAGCTATTAGTATTTCGGCGACACTGACTGGATTCTGGAGCAAGCCAAACATATGATCGAAGTAAAAGAAGATACGGCAATAATATGCAAAATAATAATAAATAAAATAATAGGAAGTGGGGGAAAAAATAACCAAGGAAAAAAAGTTGGACTGTCAGGGAATCGAACCCTGGACCACCCCCATGCTAAGGGGGTATTATACCACTAAACCAACAGCCCTGACTGGGTGATGGAGGAAGGGGGCCTAGTTATCTATGAGAGGGAGGCATCGCTAGGCAAGGGGAAGGAAGCCCAGGAAGGAGAGAGATAAATAAACAGAGGGAAGCAGAGAAGCGAAAGATAAAAGGACAGCAGGGGGAGTGTAGTTAACTAGTAAGCTGTTGTCAGGTTGTCAGCGGCAGGACGTGAGAGAGAAGAACCTCCTGGCCTGCAGAATGCCAGCATACAGTACTTAGTCTGATAGAACTAGCACTCTTATCTACTCCGTAGAACTTGGCTTCATGTGCCTGGTCCCCGTCCCCAGCTATCGATCTACTGCTCCATCCTGCACACCATAACTCCCCGTACGGAGTGCATCTCCATCTCATCTTCACTGGCCATACGGAGGACTCACTCTACCGCCCACTCGCCCTGGTCTTCCGCCATCCATCCGCCTCTTCTTCTGCTGCTGCTCTGTTTACCCCTATTCCACCCAACCAATCAGCGTTGTACCTCGGAAGCAGCCGCAGCTGACTAAGCCAATATCTTCAACGCCAGAAAAAAAAAAAAAAAAACCTCCAACTTTTCGTCCTGCTGGCTTCTTCTTTCCTTCACTTCAGCTCTTCTTCTCTTCTTCTGCTTCATCTCGCCTGTCGCCGTTGGGTCTCTTCTCTTCTTCTTTTTCCCTTCTTTCTCTCCCTCTTCTTCTTCTCTCGTAATGCTTGCTCTCTACCCTTTTTAATCTCCTTATCCTTTTCTTTTTGGCCGTCACATTTCTAGTCCGCCTCTGGGAAAAACCAAAACAACCCCCTATTCCCACCACAAAACAACACCTATCTCGGCGGCCATTGACATACCCTCGCGTCTCGATCGTGTCCGCTCTCCTTGCGGGCAGACTCGGACCAGCTCCCTCCCTTCGTTCCGGGTGTCATTCCTTGCCGTTCCGCCGCTGCCGTTCGCGCCGGTCGATACCGCTCCCTTATTATAGAGGCCTCCGACAGACACGAGATACGACCTAGATCATAGATCTCCAAATACCTTGCTCCAGTTTTATTGATAGAAAAGAAAAGAATCAGATTTGAAAAAGATGTCGGCCAACCTGCTCTCCAACATTCCTCTCTCCTTCTCCACCCCCTCGATAGATCAGCCGTTTGGCGTGAAGCTATGGCCTATCTTCGACTCCGTCTATACCTCCGTCATGGGCTACTCGGCAGATGATTTCCGGTTCGTCATCGATGAGACGCCCATGTCGACCCTCAAGGCTACCACCATCGCCCTGATATCCTACTATGTCATCATCTTTGGTGGCCGTGAGCTCATGCGCAGCCGTCCGGCCATGAAGTTGAACGGTCTGTTCATGATACACAATTTCATCTTGACAGTGGTCAGCTTCCTCCTACTGGTTCTCTACATCGAACAATTGCTGCCCACTTTGGTCCGGAAGGGTACTTTCCATGCCATTTGCCACTACGAAGGTGGTTGGACTAAGCCCTTGGTTCTCCTCTACTACGTGAGTGCCCACCCACCCCTGTCGTCTTTTAGCAAGCCCCCTGTCAAGCTTGTTTTTTGCTCTCCATTCGTTCGGATCTTGGGATTGCTAACTGTCAGGCATAGTTGACCTACCTCACCAAGTATCTCGAATTGCTTGACACCGTCTTCCTGGTCCTCAAGAAGAAGCCACTTACATTCCTTCATACCTATCACCATGGCGCTACTGCTCTACTCTGCTACACCCAGCTTATCGGCTCCACGGCTGTCTCCTGGGTGCCCATCACCCTCAACCTGGTCGTCCATGTCGTCATGTACTGGTACTACTTCCAGAGCGCCCGTGGAATCCGTATCTGGTGGAAAGAGTGGATCACCCGTCTGCAGATCGCACAGTTCGTTATCGACCTAGGTAAGGATTTTGTTTTCATACATCTTCTGACTCTCCGTCAGTATTTTTTGTCCTTGTTATGATTAGACTAACAGGTAGATAGGATTTGTTTACTTTGCCTCTTACACCTACTTTACCTCGACCTACTGGCCCTGGCTGCCCAATGCAGGAAAGTGCGCAGGTGAAGAATTCGCTGCATTTTCTGGTCTCATCATCCTCTCCTCATACCTCCTTCTCTTCATCTCCTTTTACCTCGCCACCTACAAGAAGGGAGCCAAGTCCGGTCGCCCACGCCGCAACACTGGATCGCAAGCTGCTCTTGCCATGAAGAACATGGAAGTTCCCCATGTTGGCAGCCATTCTGCTCCTGCCGCCTCCAACGGTTCCACCAACGGAAGTGCTTCCAACGGAAACGCTTCTAACGGAAATGCTACCACCACTGCCCGAGCCAACGGACCTGTCACCAGGTCAAGAAAGGCATAGAGGCTCGCCACAACGACCACTGTCGACCGACTTGACTGAACCGGGTGGCTTCTCTGACGTTTTTCTTGTGATAATTACGTTTGAATACGTTTGCAATGAACGTGTATAATAATATACTTGGAGACTGTACGAATGGGGACATGAAGTTGTTGGACCGGAGTCATACCCTCCTCCAGCTTTGGCTGATGCGGACGGACACAAACGGTTTGGTTGGGTACGGACGCCCGATATGATTGAGATGGCTTTTTATATACGAGGGATGCATCCTTTTTTGCGCCCAATACACACCTACACTCCCTTACCTCCTAATTCTCACTTCATCGTGAAGAAACATCTGCATGACAAAAAGAAGACACACATTGGAAAAAAACCACTACGACATATACAACATAGAAAGGGAGAAGCAAATGAAAAACCTAAATGGAAGAAAGAAGGAAGAAAAGTGAAAAGCACAAACGGACAGAATATAATATTGCCTTTCCCTCGATTCATTATTCCTTCGTTTCCTCCCTCTCTCTTCTTCATTCCTGATCCTATCTTATTTCCCCGTCCTCTTCTTTCTACCCCATACTTGCTACTGTTACTTACTACATACTAATAACTCCTTTTCTTCTTTCTTTTCTAGTACTTGTATTTGCATTACACCCTTTATTTGATTGACCCCCTTCTTCACCTTTTTTCGTCTTCCTCACTTCAATTCTATTGCGGTTTATTCTTGTTTCTTTTTTATTTCTTTTGGGTATAATGGCAGTGGAAATCGAAAGCAAAAAAAAACTATTAATAGCTTGGTTCCTTATCTCTTCTTGTTCAGTTTGTCTATCTCTGTATTTATGTAGCGGTAGATGACGGTGGATTGGTTTGGATTGGATTGTATCAATATCAGCGAGTTGGACGTTGTTTTTATATCCCATCCCCCCTATTCTATTCTCTCCCGTACATTCACCCCCTTTACTCCGTACAACATTGATATAGGATAGCACACCAAGCTATAGCCGGTCCCGTCTCCCAGCCGATATCACGACCATTATACATGAGTCCAAGCAAGCCACCACTCCACTTGCAACGGTCTTACAGAACCCTGACTCACTTCGGTAATTTAACCGGTCAGCCCAGAAGCTCCCAAGTCGAGGAGATTTTATAAGCGTCGTCCCTCTTCTGCACGCTCGGGGATTGCTTTACTTTCCGGATGACTTACATCCTGCCGTGCGCATGTCTGCCGCTTACCTGGTGGGTTATTATAGACGGGGTTGTGTCGGCCCAGGACGTAGTAAGACGACCGCGCCTCCTGTCACCACCACTACCAGGAGCTTCCGGCCCATCCCCAGAGTCAAGCCAGTCCAGCCAGTCCAGCCAGTCCAGCCTCTGGTCTCAGATACGGAGGACGGCGAGACGTGCCCAGCGGACTCTAGACAGAGACGGAACGGGCTGGCCGGTTAGCGAGAAGCTGGCGTATATAATATCAGAAAGCAGATAAGCGTGCAACAACCAGGGGATGGCCAAAGTTAAGCATACAGCGCATTCATCTGTCGAGTGCTTATATAGATTGCTAACTCAGAACTCTTAATCTAGTCGCTGGTCATTCCGTGATTGACCCCAGCAGGCGAGGCTTCACCGAGTTTTGGCGCCCTCAGCAGAGATGGCGTTGATCGATGAGATAGTACGGGGAACTACCGTATACATACACAACACTATCAGTCAATTATCAACTCCAAAGAAAAAGGACTTTATGCTTAGCACAAGAGAGAAAAAGAAAGCAGGATGACGATAACGTGGCAAGACAGCGAGAAGACACCTTGTCAAGCACCAGTGAAGCCAGCAATGCCATGCAGCCACGGCTCAGACAGTCATCTCGGAAGTATCAAATATTGGCCTGGCAGGAACATGACGGACAGATAGCTAACTTCACGACTCGGCTTCGACAAGTAATTCAGGTCTCCAGGCCCCCATTATTATTATCAAGTGGAAACCCGTTTTCCTACTTCTACGAAGAGCCACACCAGCCAAGCCGGAGAAGGGTTTCTCGAAGAACGATGACCCTGCTGCCTTGGACGAACTAATCATCATCCATGTCGTTTTAGCCCCAGTGCAACGTGCAGGGAATCGGCTTGTCTCATCGGCGCCAGGGGCATGTCTGACCAAACAGCTCTCGCCGCTGTCTCGTTCTCTGTGGGCGTGTGTACTCTGGTGTGTCTCTCAGGGACATCGGCTGTACCTGGCGCTGGGCAGGCATGTCTGCAGAATAAGCATATACGGGAGTCTCCCACAGGTATCCCAAAGCCAAAAAGTCAAAGAGCGGGCCATGACAAGCCAGTCTAACCAGTCATCTAACCGGCGAACTAAGTGGTGAGATGACCTCTCGCTGCCCGTATTCGCCTCGCACGTTTTGCCTGTTTCGCCAGTCTGATTGAGGAGAGAAAGGGAAGCTCGCTTGCAAGATGGCAAAGCGCTCAATTTCTCTTTTACTTCTTGTCTCGATGTCCCGCATGACCTCCATCGACGGTAGACTAAACGCAGAGCATCGTTACACTGGCCAGCTGCCATATCTCCAGGCAGCCAACCAGCAATCATCCTCTGTGGTTATGGAGTACGCCATTCAGTGGCGTTTTTTTCCGCCATCGTTCTTGTTGCCTTTTCGAGCCAACTCTTAACTAATTTGATCCTCCTTTGCTTTCTCTGTCCCAGGGACGGCCGTGGTCCAATCATCGCCTGCTGGACGAGTGAGTCGCCCAGTCAGGGGACTCCATCTATCAAACTAGACAAGGGCTGTGCGCTTGCATTTGCATCAAAGTGTATGCATGCAACTTGCTCTCGTTCGCGGTATATAAAATTGCGCTGAACCTCTGGATCCCCACTCGTCCAAATCCCCGCCATGGAGTGTGCATGCAATGCAGAGATGGAAGAGGGCGGAAGCGGATGCAGTTTTCTCCCCCTTGAGAGACCTTGAGCTGATAAGCTGGTCCATAACTATATACATACGTTATGACCCTTTCTCTTGGTTCCTGTCCCTGTTCCCGGAGCTAAAGCTACCTTATCCTCTTCAATTTGGTCACCACTCAGCAGCAAGAGTCGTGTCGATAGATATATGACGAACATCTCCTGCAATCGATTAACCATATATTTACATACAGCTGGTGCGGATACTCCGTGCTTTAGTATAGCTACCCACCAACGGAGCAACATCAAGGTACCTCCGAAAAGCAGATACTAGATAATAATACATGCTCCAGCGATCGAGAGAGCGAGAGACGAGAAAGAGAGTATACTTTCCGTCCGTCGATCATTCCTGTGAGCCAAAAAAGGATCAAACCCGGAGAAGTCCCCTGTCGACACGACTTCTTGATATATCGCATGTTTCAAACCAATTTTACCCTTTCGCTGACTCTTAATCTTACTTATGGGCCAGCTTGATACACTCGCGCCCTCTTGACTGCTACTACTTACTCTCGCTTGATCCCGATGCTGCCGCTGGAAAAGTGTGCGTGAAGACGGTGCCGGCGCCTCAACCCTCCTTTCCTCACCACATCTCTCTCCCTTTTCCACCATCAACTCTCGTCGTTCATACTTTATCTTCGATATCGAAGCTAGGCTGTCCTCTTCTTACTCTCCTTCACCCACGGCTGCTCCGTCAACGCTCGTTTTATCCTTGCTCGGACCAAAGGACCTCCTCGGACTCCTGACGTGTTTGTCCTCTTTGCTCCATTTTAAGCTCACCAATCTACCTCAAGGGGTTGGCGATATAAACAGGAGGGCACAACAGAAGAAACAGAAGAGAACAAGACCGACGGGCTCTTCATCTTTTCTTTTTATTTCCCATTTTACTTTTTTTTTTTTTTTTTTTATCTTCCACAAGACCTTCGACGGCTCCATAAACTAGGGACAGGGAAGGCCCTGCGTGGCTGCGGTCCCACTGGCTTCCACATCCCCCCCCTCTATCGCCCGACATATCTTTCGTCATGGCCACCTCGTCAGTTCACTCACTTATATCTAACGAGAAGCTGGGTGGAAGTATCCCGGTCGTACCTTCATCACTGCATATTATTCACCCCGTACCGCAGACCAGGTACGAATCCGACGAAGAAGCAGAATCAGAACTAGATATACCCGTTAGCCGTGAAGATCGGTTGTTCTCACCCCCAAATGCAGACTGCGTGATTGTGATAGGCAGCCGTGGGACGACAGATCACGCTGAAAGAGGTTTCGAGTTGACCATGCCTCTATCCGAAGAGCAGCAGAAGATGCAACATCGACGACAGGGGCCAACAGATGTTGCCAACCGTTCGTCGCTCTACACTGTCAGGCGTATAAGTGGGTTGACACTTCTGCCACCGTTGCAGACTTCCCCTGAACAATTGCAGCAGCATGAACAACAGAGAAACGCCAGCAGGTCAAGAAGTCCATCTGCAACACCACGAAACCGAACGGAGAGGCCGGCAACCATGATATTCGAACAGGAGGAATTCGAAGATCTTGTCTACTCCGACCATGCCTCGGAATACGATGCTGATGTCTTCAATGACAGTGACTTGGATGATGATACAGACGTCGACATCCAGGACGGAGGGCCAATTCACGAGTCCTTCTTTGTTGCTACTCCGGTAACATACCATCTGCCTAAGGGTAGGCCCAGCTTGGTCTCCATCTCCCCTCCGCCATCACGGTCAGGTCGCTCATCTCAGACCCAGACCCAACGGCAGATGGAAGAGCAGAGTCCCCGAGCACAGAAGAAGCAGAAGAAGCAGAGCAGCCCGGTATCTCTGGAACGGCCAGATGCTGCCCTCAAGCGGAATTCTAGCACAAGCAGCAGCATCAAGAGGAGTCTTCAGCATCTAAAGGTCAAGAAGAGCGATTCACGACGGGGTTCAGCGTACATCTCTACTGAGCCTACTCCGGTGCCACCAGTTGCTGCTATGAATGCAGGCACGAATACCTCTTTCATGTCTGCAACCTCGCCTCCTGACTCTGCAAAGTTCTTCACCGATACCAAGAAACCAAAGCAGGCCTCCTCTGACGGTCGACGACGCTCTCTCCTCCCCAATCAGCTACGCAGCGGAAGACGGAATCGAAACGTGTCCGAACAGCAGACCCCTCCACCAACCGATACTGAAGCACCACAATCACAGAGAAGTAATAATAATATTAATACACAGAACGAACCCGAACAAACGCAGATCCAGGGCCATCGACGACGAGCAACGGAGAAACTACCGTCCTTTAATAGAGTGGCATGGACACCTGCCTCACCTCCAACGTCTCCTGAATATAATAATTCCACACAATCTAGTAATAGTCACACTTCAGCGCCGCAAAAATTGCCTGTTTCTTCAGTTTCAGAACCACCACCGACTCCTGGACTACGCAAAACAAAGACCTTGCAGGTCCCTCCCCCTAATAATTCACTAGAGCAACTACCTGTTCCTCGCAATCGAGCCCGCACCCGCTCCATCAGCAGCATTGCCAGCAATGCCAGCAAATTCAGCCTCCCAGCCTTTGACAGCGCATCCCTCAAGGCTATTGCACAGAAGTACCAAAACCGAACGACCTCGCCAACGCCTTCAGGCACATCCAACCTTCGACCAACTACTACTATTCCCGACAGCGACCGCCGTCCATCGGACTGTGGCAGTACCATGTCCGAGCGACCGAGCGTTCCATCATCCCGCCACAACAAGTCCCTCCGAACAATGTCGACCACGAACCTCAGCATGCTTACAAGTGCACAAGACACGATTGACGAAGACACCATGGGCGGGCCCTACCAGAGCAAGTTCTCTAACAGCAGCCTCGGACGAAAATCCAAGCGCTACTCGACTACCTCGAAGGCAAGCATCAGCACCGGCCGGTCCAGCAGCACCAGTAGCAACAACAACAGCAACGGTACCAACGCACATATTCGATCCAAGAGCATCAGATGGTTCCAGGGTACCAGCGAGAGCATGTCTATTGCGGGAAACAAGCTCGGCTCCATCCTCAAGAAGAAGTCCGTGGCCTTGCCAACGACCTCTTAAACATCACGATTATTTCCGTACACAGCTACTTAATTGTTGTTTTGTGTCGTCTCATTTTCCGTCCTTCTACACATATATACCCTCTACTTGTCTACATTTCTTTGCATCTCATCTCTTTACCGGGAGAATCTAAAAAATAGGATCGGGAATTCTGGTCATGGGTGGGCTTTTGTCGTTTTCGTCTCGTCTTTGTTTTGCCCCTTTTTTCTCTCTTTTTACTATCCCATCCCTAATGACCTGCTAATGCCTTTTCCTATCACTTTCGTCTTTTTGTTTTAATAGCATATACTTGCCTGTGTGTCTTTTCTCTCTCTCTCTCTCTTCTATCACTTTCATCATTTCGTTCGTTTTCCTATGTTGGGTTCTTCGGATACACACTCTATACATTGCAGTGCTTTGTTCTCTCTCCTTCTCTACAGTCATTACCTTGGTTTCCTTTGCACATGCTGCACATAACAGCTACTGAATACCTGCTATCCACTTACCGGCATTATTCGACATAATCCACCAGAAAATAGCTAGTTCTAATAATAAGATCGCCTTGACGCTGCGTCAGTCAACGCAAGCTTGATACTCCTCCGTCCACCCATCCCCCCTTGTAACGCGGCAACCGAAGATGCTCTCTCCACGTCGCCATCATCGCATCCGTCATTGGGCCCTTGGGAAAGGCAAAAATAACTTCAAAGGGCTGAGCTTCTTTTACCCAACGACGGCCGCATCCGAGGCGGATCCGCCAGTCAAAGTTTTTTCAGCACCGGCAAAGTTATCACCACCTTGGCCCTCTTCTTACTAACAAACGAGCCAACGGTCAGCTAGCAAGCTAACTTAGCGCACCGTCTGGGAGTTTGTTCGCCCGGGAAGCTCGCTGAAGCGCTTTATTCGCTTCGTCCTTTTTGCCTTTCTGCATGGGTTGCTGCTTGCATATCTTCTGTGCGCAGATGCATGGTGTGGCCGTCAGGACCTATCTAACACGCCCTTTAGATATCAAATCCACATTCCACACACACACATATATATATATCTAGCCTGATACAGCATATTCCAGTTCTGCTCGCTTCTATATATATCGCCTTCCACCGATTGGACGCTGCGGTGGGTTTTTTTATTTTTGCGAAGTCGCAGGTGGATAACTAGCGAAGGCCGTCCAGACATGAAGCCCGCCAGCGCAGACACAAGCCAAGCGGAGGTCGAGAGAGGCAGCCAGGAGAAGGACGCCCTCTCGGACACCGCGCTCCTGGTACGTATGGCCGACGTTTGATCTCTGATCCTCCTTCTGATCCCTTTGGTCCCTCTGCTGTGCTTCCGTACTCCCGCGATGAGGTGTGTGGGGGTTGCGGTCGTCTCGCTGTTTCATCGTCGCATAACTGACCAGCCCACGCACAGGAAACGCTTGGGTACAAACCGGTATGACTTGCTCCCATGATTTCATACCAAGATTGAGCGAGACCCATCTCGCTGCTTCTTAGCCTGCTTCGGGGGAGTTCGTGGAGGTTGATTCGTGCATATGTTCTCCGTCTAGGTTCTGCACCGAACGTACACGTTTCTGGAGAGCTTCGCAACGACGTTCGGTAAGATGGAAGCGTTTCGAGAAGAGATCCCGAAGGGGTAGCTATTTATTGCTAACACATGCAAATTAGCTGCGCTGTACTTCGTCGGCGGAGTACGAGTGACGTTCAGCACTGGCATCGCCGCCGGTGGGAACTTGGCTTATTGGTGAGTCTATGCGCCCTGCGCTCCGTGTGTGGCTGGCTGCTCCTTCGCGGAGAATAATAAATATTGTGAAACCTCGAAATAGTGGATGGAATAGAGCTAACCGGGCAGATAGGACAAACTACCTGGTTACGGCTGTCTTCACGGGGATCACTGCGTCGGTCATCGCGGAGATCTGCTCTGCTCTGCCGTCTGCTGGCTCAATCTACCTCTGGGCCGCTGAGGCCGGCGGTCCCAAGTACGGACGACTGTTAGGATTCGTCGTTGCGTGGTGGAGTACCACGGCATGGACGACCTTCTGTGCCAGTACGTAACGGACCTGCTTGAGATCGTTGCTTTTTTGTTATCTTTTTGCAGGAGCCCCGTTGACTGATTAATGTGCGCAGGCAACACGCAATCTGCTGTAAACTACATTCTATCCGTATGTCATTTGATACCCCGGTGGTCAACACAGCAGCTAACCGGTTTGAACGCAGGAACTGACTGTGTTCAATGTCGACTTTCCCAAAAATGTCGATGATGTCAAGTTCAGAGCTGTCCAGTGGATATGCACTGAGGCTCTGCTTGCCATTGCAGCCATAGTCAACTTCCTCCCGCGTAAGACTCCCTCTTTTTATAGAGAGCCACTCGTTTGCGTTCAAAGTTGACACATCATGCAGCGAGGATGTTCAGATTCGTCTTCTACCTTTCGTCCACCTTTGTTCTTTTGGACTTTTTGATGAATGTTATCTGGCTGCCCATCGGTGCCCATAATACCTGGGGTTTCCGCACCCCTAGTGAAGCATTCTTAGCTACCTATAACGGCACGGGTGCCCCGGCCGGCTGGAATTGGTGTCTTTCCTACCTTGCCACTGCTGGAATTCTCATTGGATTTGACGCCTCCGGCCATATTGCTGAAGAGACCAAGAACGCTTCTTTGACCGCGGCCAGGGGTATTTTCTGGAGTACAGTAGTCAGCGGAATTGGTGCTGCCTGTACGATTGTACTATTCTTATTCTGCGCAGTACGTATACACGGCCGATCTTCATCTTTCCATTTGCTTGACTTTGAATTGTTTGCTCACCAGGTGCTGTTTGATAGCCCGATCCTAAGACCTTGTTCTCATTCGGGTCCCCTCAGCCATTCGTCCCTCTCTATGCTGTTGTGCTGGGCCAGCGAGCCCATATTATTATGAATGTGGTGTGCGTAATCACCTACTGGTTTGTGAGTACCCTCGTTACCAATCCCCAATCCACACGGGCAATGCTCTAACGTCATGCAGAATACCACTATCGCCATTGTAGCTGCATCGAGACTTGTTTTTGCCGTTGCCCGAGATGGCGTCCTCCCATTCTCCAGCTGGGTCTCCCGTGTCTCTCCATCAGGCCAACCCTATAACGCCATCAAGGTAGTCTGGGGCGTTGCTGCATTAGTAACCTGCACCATCCTCCCGTCAAATGTTGCATTCACATCGCTAGTTTCAGCCGTCGGTGTACCGTCTGCAGCTGCATACGGCCTCATCTGTTTTGGGCGGGTCTTTCTTACCCCGAAGAAATTCCCCAAGCCAAGATGGAGCCTAGGTGTCCTCAGCAAGCCGTTTCAAATCATTGGAATCTTTTGGAACGGATGGGTTGTCGCTATCCTATTCTCGCCTTACGTTTTCCCTGTCACTGGCCAGACGTTAAATTGTAAGTCATTTTTTGTTTTCCCTCTCCTACCATTTCAAGTTAGAGAGAGAACTGTATCTGATACCTGATCTCCACGCAGATGCTCCTATAATCCTGGCTGGTGTCACGATTATTGCATTAATATCCTACTGGGTCATCCCGGAGGAATCCTGGTTCCCGAGTGCACGTATCTCCAAGTTTGTTGAGGGACAACCCCAGGATCTCGTCAAGTCCGGAAGTAAAGCAGTGAGGTACTAGCTTCATTTCAAGAGCAGGGAAGTGGTCCATTCACTACTTCCATGTCATAAAAGGGGTTTCGGGGAATAAAAGTTGAAAGAACAAAGATGGGACTCTATGATGATATATGTATGCATATATGTAATCTAATTGTATATGGCACCCAAAAAAATAATAATAGTCGAGTTCCTAGATCGCGGGAAAGGAAGATACTCATCGCGTTGTTTCAGAACTTTCATTCGTAACACCGGGGCCGGCGAGGGAGTCTCAACTAGACACATCCTTACACAGCTATGGCCAATGCTCCAGCCCCAGGGAGATCAGGAGCAGCCATGTAGCCGTCCTTGGCTAAAACGCATAACAGGGACAAGCATACCTGCATTGTTCCCATTCGGAAGACGGATATAACGGCTAGTGCTCCATATTCTCCATGCACACTTGTTTTCGAAAGTGTTTTCTCTGTCGAGCGATCGTTTGGGGTATCTCTTAGTTTAAAATAGGGCCGCAGGGTGAGATGCGGAGTATAGATCGAGTCTCAGTTTGATATATAGTATTAACCCAAGGATCACCTTGAGTAATCGAACTTGCATCGCGAACGACTGTCTCAGATACAATATGTTCATGACTTGACCTTCTATACCCGTTTGTCGTACCTGATTCATGAAGGTTCCAAGTATGTTTTTACTAACGGCAGTTTGCCTGGGTATTGCTGAGACGACCGGTTTTCACCATCGGGAGAACGACCCTCGAATGAGGTTCGCTAGAGGGCATGCTTCGAATTCATAGAAGTCACTGATTTCGATCAGATTGGACGGAGGAACTTCTCTATCTTAATAGGCAGTGATGGTATCCAATTAACACCGTACGTATACAGCTAGTTCGCGCCTTCGACTGGAGAAATAAGTCAATTGATTCAACTGAAAGATCGCCTACCATCACACACAGCAGCCTGCATAGAAATCAAGTCTCTAGAGAAGCAGGGAGTTCCAAATCATGTCACCCATCTTGATGGATTGAGGTTGAAGTTGAGGTTGAGGTTGGGCGTTCGTGGCGGTTATAAAAAAAAAAAGAGGCGCGGGTGTTCCTGGCGCCACAGCCGATGTTTACCCGCGGCCCGCGGCTAGCTGCATATTTCCCCGCAAACTATAGAACGACCGCTCTTAAGTATCCTGTTAAGACATTAAGCCGTACATCCAGGTCTTCACTTTGGTCCATATACGTGTCTATCTCGAAGCTGAACCAACCATGTCTCAATCACAGGGCTCCCGACTAGCAAATAAAGTAGCCATCGTGACCGGTAAGCCCTGACCATACCTGCACTCGTAACAAACAGTTTATATGTATCTAACATTATCAACTAGGCGGCGGGTCTGGCTTTGGTGCTGCAATTGCTGTTAGATATGCCCAAGAAGGCGCAAAGGTGATAATAGGCGACATAAATGTCGAGGGAGGCGAAAAGGTGGCTTCCAGCGACCCGTCGAGCATCACCTTTCAGAAGATGGACGTCACTAGATCCGAGGACTGGAAGGCGGTTCTAGACCTTGCAGTGTCGAAGCATGGAAAAGTAGATATACTTGTGAATAATGCGGGGACAACTTATAAGAACAAGGTATTCCATCCTCCCGATCAATAGGGCCATTGGATCGGTCCTCAATAGACAGGTGACGGGTTATTAACGATACTCTAGCCATCCGCCGAAGTTACAATGGAGGAATTCGAACGGGTTTTCAATGTTAACGTGAAGAGCATCTTCCTTGCCTCTCAGTTGTTCATCCCGGTCCTAATCAAGCAAGGACATGGCGGATCGATGATAAACATCTCTTCGACAGGTGCGCAACGGCCCCGTCCGGGGCTAGTATGGTACAATGCCTCGAAGGGGGCTGTGTCGAACGCCACCAAGGGTCTGGCGGCGGAGTACGGCAAGCACCAGATTAGAGTGAACAATGTGTGCCCGCTATTGTCTGGAACTGGCCTGTTTGAGATGTTCACTGGTATACCAGATACCCCCGAGAATCGGCAGAAGTTCATTGATAATGTGCCGTTGGGGAGATTGGCGGAGGCAGAAGACATTGCTAACATGTGTTTGTATCTGGGGTCTGACGAGGCGAGGTTTATTAACGGTGGGGATTTTGTTGTTGATGGAGGAAAGTGTATTTGAATGATTGGTGACTGATTGAATAGCTTATTGTTGGAATGCCTATCAATGGACGAGTTGAATGGTTTTTGTTTTTTCTTTGTTATGAATGACCTTGAGTCATAAATAAGTAATGTGGTACACGAAGATGGGGACAGATAAAGAATGTTTGAGTCTTATATCCATAGCCATATTCATTTCGTAACACATACAAAGAAGCATATCCGCATACTAACTGCGCCCTTTGGTTTTCTTTTTTTTTTTCCGTCCGGCTAACAAAGCAAACAATAACACCATACATACAAGAAAACAAAGAACATATACATGGTGAATAAGGGGGGGATCGAAGAAATATGTACTCGAAGTTATGTAAAAAGAAAAAGAAAAAAAAAACAAGAAAAAGAAATCAAAGGAGTCTGATTGGCTGGGTGATAACGTCGTTGCACCAACGCCTCCTCCATATGAAATTGGCTGCCAATCTTGACAGGAACGTTAAAGGGGAAAACTTGGAAAATCAAGGGGATGGGAATCCCCTATCGGCTGAAGAAGTAATATGTTTCAACAGTGCAAATAGATACACAGCGAAGATAGAATTTGGTTCTCGTGAATACAGCTCTCTGTCAGGGAAGAAAAAAAAAAGGTGCAGATGTAAGAAAAGAATCCAGAGATAGCCATCATATTTGGGGGAAAGCGGACAGCTTAGAAGTGTCCATGACGGCGGCGGTGACCGCCGTGGCCGTGGCCACCGTGGTGGCGGAGAAGGTTCATGTCTCTCTTGGCTGGAGTAGCCTGGGCTTGAATAGTGGTGGTGACAGTCCGGGTGACGACGGCAACCTCAAATACTGTGCCGTCCTTGGTGTAGGTACTGGTAGTACCTGGGGGGTTTGCGGGAGCAGATGGCATAGGAGTGGTCTCTGGAGCTGGGGGGGCCGGAGGGGCCTGGTCGGATGGAGGAGCTGGGGGAGCTGGGGGAGAGGGGGTTGGGACGTTGAGCTTTGGTCCGCCGGGAACTGGGATGGAGACTGAAGGAATGTTGACGACGGGCTCGTGGTGGCTGGCGCCACTAACGTATCCAGGTCCGGTAGAAACCTTGACACCACCGGGCAGACCCTTGGGGCAGAGAGTGTACTCCTCAGACATGATGGATGGGGGAACGTTCATCTTGCACTCGTTCTGTTTGTTGTGGTCCTGGATGTTGAAGATGTGGCAGTCTTCGAGAAGACCGGAGTCGTTGGTGCAGGTGTCAACAGCCTCCTGGAGCACACCATCATCCCATCCCTCAATGAAATCAGCGTGGTAACCGGCACCAGTTGGGTCACCGTTGGAGATGACGAACTTGCCGTCCATGCCAGCGAATGGCTTGGTGACCCAGATGGTCTCGTAGAAGAGGGTGGGGAGACGGGTGCCAAAGCCCTCGGGACAGTCACCGCCGTTGATCTCGCTAGGATAGGCGACGTGAGACTTGTGGTCCTTGGAGTCGAGGTCCTTTCCGTTCCAGCAGGATGGGAACATGATCTCAAGACGGAGACCGTTTGCACAGGTGTTGTCGATGAACGAGCGCTCGGGGAAAGTGTGTCTGTACATGGAGGCCTCTGGAGGGTTGGCGTAGTTGAGACAGTTGAAGCCGATGGCTTTTTGGCCCAGAGCAGACTGAGTCTTCTCCTCCTTGGTCCAGCTGGAACTTGGAGGATCAGGCTGCTCGAAGGGGAAGTCACGCAGACCGGTGTCTCCAGAAATCATACGAAGGCCTCGAGGGAATGCCTTGATATCCTTTCCATACAGGAGGTAGTACCTATCAAGACGAGTTAGTATTCAGGTATCATGGGTCAGGTGGTGAAGTAGAGAGCGAGGACATACACAAGAGTACCACCCAGCTGCTCAGCGAGCTCAGCAGTTCCATTGGCGTGAAGGAAGTAGAGAGTAGGAACCCAGTAGGCAGACTTGTCCTGGGTAACAGCACACGAAGTGCAGTCAGACTCAGCCAGCTGATCACCAGTAACCTTGAAATCGAAGTCTAAAACAGCATGTTAGAACGTTTTTTTCTTGTAACTCCCCTTTTCTTGCTGGCAGCAGCAGTTGAATAACGTACTTTTACCACCGTGGATGGCGTGGGCGTGAGGCGAGAGCTCTCCTGGGTTGACGATGGGGTCCATGCGGGCAAGACCCAGACGGCCCTGGCAAGGCATACGCCAGAACGCAGCGGCCGGCGCAGCCATGGAGAGCATCGAGGCCGCCAAAGCGGTCAACTGAACGGTATGCATCGTGATCGAAGTCCCCTCTCAGGTATTTTCCCCTTCTTCTTGGGTTTCGAGGGAGTTTTCAGAAGGGAATTCGTGATCCCGACCCAGTCGAGATGTAGATATCTATGTCAACAAAGGAGCGTGTATTCACAGGTCTTTTTATCTTCCAGCGAGTCGAGCAAGACCACTGTTCCAGACGTATTTCAGCTCGGCAGCAGGTATGTACGGGTTTTTTCCTGGTATCGAAGCGAGCAAAGACAGCCAGAGAGACGTTGTTCTGATAGTCAATATCAGAGGCAGCCAGAGACAGAGACAGAGAGCGTGAGGCAACTAAAGGAACGACTAGGCGGCGCGCGAAGGAGTGTAGATGTCTAGAGAAGACGACAAGCAGCGCTGCCAGGCAAACAGAGAGAGAGAGACAGAGAGAGAGACGACGAAACGAAGAAGCAGAAAGCAGCAGAAGAGGACAGGCAGAAGAGAAAGTGACGGGCCTGCGATGGTTGATAAAGAGCGGCGGGCGGCTAGTCGCTGCGAGAACGCCCCGGCGCCGCTAGTCCCGAAGCGGGCATCAGTGAAACAGCCCAACCGCCGATCTGACACAGTTCAATTAAAACCGCGACACCCTCTCTCCATCGCGGTCAAGTAGTCAAGTAGGCACGGATATACTTGCAGCACCAAGGGTACCAGAGTTACGGTGGTATTGGTACGGTCAGCTGGCTGCAGGGCAGTCAACCGCAGACCGACACATGGCCGGGCGGGCAGCCAGCGAGACTGGGAGCCAGCGCAACAGACAAGACGGTCAGCCAGACGGAGACAGACGGGGCGATGAGGTGGCCGCATCCTGAGATGAAGGTTCTGTTCCTGCGTTGGCAGTGTGTCCTTGGCCCAATAACGCCTCTCGATCGGCTTTGTCGACGCTCTTCAGAAATACGGCAGGTATACGGTCCCCTCGCGGCTGAGCCATATTAAATCATGGCCTTGCCTCCCAGGAACGGGTTTTTGCGTATGGGATGGAGTACTCCGCTGCTTCGTGCGAATGAGAAAGGGGAGAAAAAATAGCGCCCTGCCAAGTGCTTGCCGCCCTTTCCTTCCCCTCTCTGACAGGGGGTATTATACTTAGCAGGAGTATATTTTTGAACTCTCTTTTTACGTGAGAGATTGATTATTCATGGGTCCTCGCTAAAAATTCCATCCCGGCCCTCGGTCAGCTTATGCCCTGTGTTATAGCCCAGGGGCCGCAATGAGACGTGGGGTGTTTTAATTATAGCCACCACCTTATTATAACATGCTCTCTGGCTCGCCATGGCAAGCGAGCTCTGACAACAAAGACGCATGAAAAAAAAAGGGCTCCCTCAAGCGAGAATAATAGGGGATGTCTACGAGGGGAGGCAAAAGCTCACTGGACAGACTGGTGGACAGGTCATCCTGCTTAGCCAGGAGGATTCACTTAATAATTGCATGACAACGTTTGCTCCACATGCTTGACGGCCTGTGACCAATCGAAGCTTGACCAGAAAGGAGTCGATACGTCACGGCAGTTTGCTTCTTCTGGACACTCTTGTTTGCCAATTCCGATATCCTTACAGACATGATATCGAATCGTGCACATATCTCTTTCCCGCTAGGCCTTCTCACGAGCAAACAGCTGCTGTTTCTACCAAACTTCCAAACTTCCATCGTTGTTCCATATCCATCCAACTTTCTTTCCGCCACCACCAGCATCGTACTCAGTGTGACGCTTGATTGTGTTCCCGACTAATTACCATGCTTTAGGGCTTAAGCCACGCCGTCAGTTGCTAAGCTTCCAAGCCGCCACACCGTAACGGCAGATCAAGCCAGAGTTGTCCGATGTGGACAGGGTTGTGGAAAGGATATTCAGCGTTAACAGCCTAGTGTCGTGTACGGAGTTCAGTCGTTTGTCATCATCTAAGTATCGCTGGATGGATTTCATTGACTGCTGCAGACTCCCTCGACTGCTGATCCACTCTGTTCTTGTTGCTTGCAGTGGATCTTTGCTCATCCGCATTCGTGGGTAGAATCTTTCAGCCGCTGAGCGACGCGTCAGGGGCTTCCCCTTGAAAGCGATGTCGATCGATTTAAACTCCCGGCCAGCTTCGTAAATAATATCTGGAGAGGGAGTTGGGAGAGCTGATATCTTTGGAGTTTGATTGATAAATCATTCCTCTTCGGATCTTGTGTTATTGGTCCCATCTGTGATTGCTCGGGCCTGAAGTAGCAGCCATGAGATAAGAGGGAAATTAACAGAGAAACGCTAGGGCTTTTATCCATCATTGTTTGGAACTATGTCGAAAGTACTGAACGATTGTCATATTTATTATAACGGCCCCGTGTCATTCACAGCCGTTTGTCACCAGCCAAGTTCTATTTCACAATCACTGCTGATCCCCTGGTGGCTCCAGACGTACTGCGGCCGATTCGTAGGCTGCTGTTAACTAGTTAATACATTGCAAAGGAAACGAGTGACGGGTGTCAAATAAAATGAAAATGAAAAGCAATGCAAAGGAAAAGGAAAACAACCAGGGTAAGCCAGCACCAGTGGTAGGCAAATTTTTTTTTTTTTTTTT